CCCCCTCCCCCATGTAGTAGTAAAGCATGCCAATCAGTCCGAATATTCAAAAATATTCCAGAGACCGCATGGCCAAAGGGGGAGAACCAGGTTGCAGATAGTCAGTCAATTAGCCTGAAGAAGCCAGCGTGACTTTGAAAGCTTGCAACATATAGTTGTGCATTTTGGTTGGCCCAAGAAAGGTATCATTGTTTGGATGTTTTTGAATAGGATTCATGTTTTACATGCTAGGGCTTTCCCATCTCCCTTTGTAACACTACAAATCTCTAGCCCAGGGAAGAAAGGTGTGAAGTATGGCATGAAGGGATGGTTAACAAAAACCATCTTCCCTCCACATGAACTGAAAAGCAGTTTAAGTTACAAACATGTTGAAGACTGAGGGCTTGGAATGGCACAGTTAAAAATGGTTTATTAAATATGTATAAATATAATCGGAATCAATGTGCAACTTTCTGGAGCACTAGACAGCCTTTGTCTCTGAGAAACACTTTTCACACACCTTGCTTGCTTTAGGATGTTGATTGAACTCCTTTTCTGAATAGTTCATGCTGACTTTAATTAGTATACTTTTTCTGTCTACCTCAAGAAGCTGAACCTGTGTATATGAACTATGCACAAGATCGTGAATAAATTACTTTTTATGTCTTTTTAAAGGAAGACTGTGTTTGATTCTTCTACTAGCCTAGAAACACATGTGGAGTGATGGAAGCTGGTTTCTTGCTGTTTCTGACCTACTGCTTCAATGCTGTTTTAAACTCAGCTAAAAGAGAATCACCAAATTTCAATTGTTTTTAACTATACCCATTAATTCTGATCAGTGATTCAGTCTTGGATCGATTGACTTGGATTCAAGTTGGATTCAAGTCACTTCAGTGACTTGATTTGGGAACTTATGGTGTTAAAAATAACATGACTTATCCCCAACAGGATACAGTTGCATTTTGAATTAATAGCGGGTATTATCACATTCAAATTGCCACCAATGCTGGGCGACTGCAAACCGCATGCAGCCTGGGTCCCAGCCGCACTACTCCAGCTGCTTTTCAAAAATGGGAAGATTGTTCCAGATAAGTGCCTTACTGAATACATTTTTTGTTAAAGAAAATTATGGAGGGACTCACTTGGACACCACAAGATGGCATCAACAGACTATTCTGTACGGTTTTTTGTCACAGTGACAAAATGAATAGGATCTGTTTTGGTCAATGATGAATTTTCACCCTTTAAGCTGTTTTTTGTTCCACATAAAGTTGTTACCTTGAACAAAATTGTAGGCTTGATGGTGGTTTTTTTTAAGAGTTGTTATCTATTGATAACTTGTTTAAAAAACTGAATTACTTGAAAATTGCCTTATGACATCCAACTAAATCTAGAAGAAATGAATCACTTGTAGATCAAAAAGAACTGCATTCTCTATATATAAAGTTTAAAAAATGTAGCTTCTAAGCCAATCAACATTAGTATTTTTTGTTATGTGATCTAGAATAGTGGTCTTCAGCCTTTTGGGGGCACACTGGGAAATTTGAGAAATGATCATGGACAATGTTACAAAATGACTGTCAGCGGTATGTGGTTAGTTGCAAAATGGTTGTTTTGGGGCCTTGGATAGTCATAAAGGACACACCATTTACCCAAAAACACTAAATATAGGATAGATGTAGATCTGAGCCTCAAGTGCCAAACTACACATTTGAGGCCAGAAATCACAATAAAATTCCAATTTCAAAGAACTAAAAACAGAAGGAAAACTTGAGTGTCTCAAACCTTGTCTACATGGGCAAAATAAACTGTCCCTCCATCTTCTTGCAAGGAAATCCAGATGACTCAAGGCACCAATCCCTGAGTTAGGACTGTTCAGTGCCAAATCTAGGGTATACCCCTCTTAAAATGGTGTAAAATAAGTCCCTAGTTGCTCCAGTTCTTTCTGGAAGATCTAGGAACCCTTCTTTTCAATGTTGGGCAGATATTTAAAACAAGTCCTGCTGTGCCAGTGGACATAACAAGGGACCCAATCCCGTGAGCAGCCCTGGGTGTCTCATTCTGGCCTCAGAGTGAGCAATGCACCGCAGCAGTAGCTCTTATTAGGACACCCTGCACACCCCCCACTGTATTTGGGGGCCCTATTTCCTATTTCATATCTGGAACCAGCATGTTAATGAGAGGTTACAATGGCCTTTAGGAATACTAGAACAGGTTTCCAGGAGAAAAGGAGCAAGACCCAGGGCATGTGGATGATCCAACTAATACAACCAAAGCTGCTAATTGTTCCCTCTTCCTCCTAAATCATCTGCATTTCCTCTTGTACCTTGAGGCAAAGATGCTCTTTGCACCCAGAGCAGTAAGCCAACATCTCTCTGCCTTGCTCCCTGCCATGTTCCAAGCCACTTCATCCTGTCTAGTCTCTCAGGGTTGTCCTGATCCAATCACTGTTTTTGTCATCTTTAAATTAAGGACATCAATCAATCTGGAATCTCATTGTCAATTCCTGGGAAAGAACATCAAATCATTGTTACGTTACAGGATAGCATATCGCTAGAGGCCAGTTTTCAGATATAAGCGTTGGTCTGAAAATCCTAGTCTCTGTGCACTCACAGTACACATACAGTGTCCCCTGCTGTTTTCTGTGTATGAAACGGTACCACCCTTAGCCTCCCCCCTAATCTCCAGCTTTCCATGTTCTACTTTCCAGACAGGTCATTATCACCCCCATTTGAACCCCTCAAACTCTGCTATCCAGTTTCCATATTTCCATTTTGGTTAACTCTGTGTGAATTGCTGTTGTGTGATTGCACTCTGCATTTTTCCTAAATAAAGCCCTCTTGATAGAAACCTGGCGTTATCTTCAATTATTACTGGTATATACAGTTGCAAAATGGTTCTAACAGTTACCCAGCCTCTTGCAAAGCTAATTTCCACAATATTTAAAATAAAACTGATGTATTGGTGAGGCATCTACTGGTCTCCCACCTTTTGTTGGATAACACAGCAGCAGATGGCACAGCAGGATGCGTGCAAATAGCAGATAGGAATGGTAATAGGGGAGGATGGGAAAGTTACAGAGCCAGGATATTCTGGGCTGCTTCCAGAGTATCCTGGCCTGAGCAGACACCACCTCAGAGACAGGTAACTTATGAAGAAACTGTATAAGGCAGAGGATGGGTGTGGGCCCCAACCCAACCTTTCCAATAACCATGCTGTGCAGAGGCTAGTGCTAAGACAACAGTTGGGTACATTTGATTTATTTTGCTGCTAGTCACAAATGGCAAATCCAAAGCAGACTCAAGTTATGTGTAAACTTCTCCAAAGAAGACATGGGTCAGAATTCTGATGGTGTCTTAGGCTGCATATACAATCCAGCATTAATGCAGTTTGATATTGCTTTAATTGCCATGGCTCAATGCTATGGAATGCTAGGATTTTAGTTTTGTGAGACATTTAGCCTTCTGTCAGAGAGCTCTGGTGCCACAACAAACTACAAATTCCTGAATTCCATAGCATTGAGCCATAGCAGTTAAAGCGGTGTCAAACTGCATTCATGCTGCAGTGTGGCAGCTGCCTCTCACATGTGTACATTTCCTTATGGAAATGGTTGCACATTTTTATCCAACATGGAACATCTACATTCAGTTCAAAGGTTGTGGAGGTGGAGGTCCACATATGGTGCCATTCTGTGTGCAGATGACCATAATCATATCGATGTCCATGGACATTCATTTGTGTATCTGCTTGCACATTTGGGGGTACATTCAGCTAGGCAATGTTGCCATTAATCACAAGGGTTGTGTAAAGCAGTGATAAGGGAGTGTTGCTCCTGCAGATGTTTTGGTTCACAGTTCTCACAATTCCCACAATCCCTTACACTTGCCATGCTAGCTGGGACCTCTGGATGTTGAAGGTCCAATACATCTCGAGGGCCAGAGGTGCTCCATCTCGGCTCTATAGAAATATCAGCAGATAGTTACTGCTGATTTACTTAGTTTGTGAACTAAGAAAGATCTTGAGAAAACAAGATATAAGGTGAGAACTTTGTAAATAAGGAACCTGCTGGTACTTTTGGGAGGGAATGTAGCAAAGGAGGCTTTCTACCACACTGGAGTAGTCCTTTTGTTCTGTACACCATGTGACTGATCTGGACTTGCTTATATAAATTTTGGGTGATCTGTTCCCCCAAAGCTGTAAACAAGGGGGTAAGAATTGGCCAGTTCAACAAGACTCCTGGTGTAATCATCATATAACTAGGATCTCCTCATATACCTGTGAGGCCCTGCTATTGCCAAAACAGAATTCAGTCCCAAAATGATGAATTTTATCTCTTGAAGCATCATCCAGGGGGCATGGTCCTTCATTTTAAGGACATTTTCAGGAACAAAATCTTTGGAACTTAAAGGTTGCTTTCCCCTAAATTCACTTTTGATTTTGAAAAAAAAAAGTAATGAACGAGTGTGGGCCAGGCAGGACTGATGTGACCACTATATTGTAAATAATAACAAAGAACATGGATAAGAAACTCAAGCCTGTGAAGCAAATATGATCCATTTGGCAACCTCCTCCAATGGAAGTGGCGACATGGAGGGAGGTTTCACCCTCCCAGAGTCCCAGGTATAGTGAAAGAGGACATGTGCAGATCACAAACCTGGATGAAGTTGTATTTGGTCAAATACTTGATTGAAGCATTTAAAAAGCCTCCCTTTTTACAAATGCAAATGTTTAAGTAGTGTAACTGCAGCTCAAGAGAGTATTTCAGGACTGAACTAACAATGTGTGTGTGCGGCCAAGCAGAGAATCGAACCTTGGTCTCCAGATTCATAGTCTGACACTCAAACCACTATACCACAAGATCTTTAGCTGCATGCTATGTATTTAACACATCATGTAGTTTGACACAGAAAAGACTCACAACACCACTGACTTTTATGAGCAACATGTCTCTAGGTTGTCAGACTGATTCACAGGGGAGAGGAAACTGGTGACTTCCAGAAGATAGTGAAGTCTGCAGTCCCAACAGCCCTGACTAGAATGGGCAATGCTCAGGGATAATGGGAAGAGTAGTCCATCAATATCTGGAGGGCACCTACCCTCAAGTTAGGCTGTTTTTTTGTCAGAGATGTGGGAGAGAGGGGGGGAAACGAATAACACAGGTGAAGGCACAGCTTTCATCTTTTAAATCAGCTTGCTCAGAAACAACCTTTATTCTTACAGCACTGAATAGTGTGCTCATTCATTCACTAGTGACTTGAGGATATACATGTATTTCTTCTATAAAGCTGAACAATGAAGCAATCATGCATCCCCATTTACGATTATTACAATTTTACTTTTTGTTTCTAGCTACAATTGTCTCTTTTGTCTGGTATTTCTCAAGAGACTCCCACACAAAGGACTCTGTAGATTCTTGCTAAATTGTACTGGCTTCTCATCGTGACCCCTGTTGCTTCTTTTATGCACTACTTCTTCACCTTCATGCTTAAAAATCAGTATGGCCACTGGTCCTGTCCCAACCATGTACCCACTCATTTCTCAACCAGAAGGTATGAAGCCCTGTGTAGACCTCAGCTCCGTTCTTCTTTAGAGTGCATATACAGTCAGAAAGATGGCAAGTTGTGACAAAGCAGGGAAAGGAAGTGTAACCCATGGTAATTTACCCATGATGGAACTACTCCCAAAAGAATTTCACCTGGTTCTCACATTTCCTGACTTTTCAGCTAAAATGTTTTTGAATTCTCAGTCATTTTAAGATCTTGGATTTTTTAAAGTGGGTGGGCAAGTGTCGAGGGGGCCACTTTCCCACCAGAGGAAGTTGAACTTGATGGTCCTTGTGGTCTTTTCCAACTCCATGATTTCATGATTCTCCATTCTATAATCCACCCCCATGGACTATACCAGGGGTAGGCAACCTTTTCCCTTTAAGGGCCGAGGGACTTCAGCTCCCAGAATCCCAGGAGCTATTGGCCAACATGGGACTATTAGCCAACATGGCTGAGGCTTCTGGGAGCTGAAGTCCCTTGGCCCTTAAAGGGGAAAGGTTGCCTACCCCTGGACTATACAGTCACTCCTGGTATGACCAGATGTGTCACTTTCATCTTGAAGAACTGAGTTTTGCTGTAGGGGAGTTATTTGGGGGTAGTGTGGGACAAGGGAGTTCCAACCACATGTTTTTGTGGTGATTTGGGTATCTCCTCTCCCCCCCCCAGTGTTTTTCAGCTATTTTAGCTATTATGCCACAAAAATAGATCCCATGGCCCACATGCAGCTAGTGGACCTCCCTTTCCTCAACCCATTAAATACCAGTTTGTTAAAATACTTGCACTTTGCTATTTTATTGATTTGAGATTTTTACTGTATATATTATTGTATCATCAGTGCTGTTGTAAGACAACTATTTGCATGTCTTAGAATCATT